ACTAGACGAATCGAATAATAATATTTTTGTTCAAGTCGGATCATTGGATGTCAAGAATTAGATTATTGGATATTGAGGTAATGATCGATTATATTTGGGATGCGAAAGTTTATGAACATACAATACCCAATATAAAAGCTCTATCAATCTATAAAAAGATTTAATGATCAGCGTTTGTGATGTTCTTTATACTCAGAAAATTTCAGAACATTACACATAATTTTCGGAAAGTTATCCGGGGTCAGTTACTTATGCTGGGACTGTATATTTGCGTTTTTATTTCAAGAGAATTCACATACAGTCAACTCTCTTTAATAATAATTCGCCGGAACCATTTGACTAATCAGACATGAGCACGCATTTAGAGATATTACATTTATAGAGTATATATTTAAGCTTGGGACGTGCATTCAGAGAGAGTATACATAGTGCGTGCATTATGAAGGTTGCATCTAGGGAGAGTTGATTTATTAATAAAGGTTACAGTGTATTTTTTTCTAATTCATTAAATATTCAGGAAGAATTGAGCATTCGATAAAAATACTATAAATTTAATACTCCTCATCATCTTCCTTTTTCGGAAACTTTTTTTCAACCTCGGCAAAAGCCTCAGAATGCTTTGTCGCTAATATTTGCTTTATTGACCTAAGAAAAATAAAAATAATTAAGAAAGAATAAAAAAATGAACAATGAATCATAAACCAGAAATTACCGAAGCTTTCGAAAAATATACTCCAGATCATTCTTCACCTCTTTAACACATTTTGCATATGACTCGTATTTTTTCAAGAGTTCGTCATATTTTTGTGCGCTCTCTTCATTCAGAGAATTAAGTGTTGCTATACTCTTGTCCAGATTCTTTTGCCTTGATTATTGATCGTAGTAGTATTGGTATGATGATGATAATAACGATGTAATGATGCAAAAAGAAAATAATTATTTACATGTTTATTTGATATTCAGTTATTTTGTGCAAATCCTCATTATTAAGCGAACCATGCAACTGCTCAACATAGTAATTATCAATATTATTCTCTTTGGAGTCTCTCTGCTGCGGCTGCGTAGTTTCCATTTTTCAAGCCGATTTTTTTGGGGTTTTGCTAATGGAATTTATGCAAGAGTTGTGCCATGTTTCTGGCCAGCATTGTAATCAATCACTAACAATACAAATTTCCCACACTGTGCACTGATCAATACTGCGTGATTTTAAATAAATATTAAGGGTTCTCACGCGTGCCTTATTTGTTTCTGAATCCTAAACCAAGATTAAAGTACGAAAACAATAGCAGCTTTTCATTCCTTGCTTGGTTTTGTTTCTTTTCTCCAACGGGCTCTACTAATTCCTCTACCTAATACCTAATACCAAATAGTTAAGGTAATTCTTATTGTGAAAGTAATTTATTTAAATATCAATCATTTTAATAAGCTTATCAAACAAAATCTATTAAGCCTATATATAATGCCGAAAAAAGAAACAAAACGGCGATTTACGCCAAGCTTAGATAGAAACGAAAAGCCCCCTCTCAGGAGGTCCAACACCTACTGGGGTATTCTCTTTCCAACTGAAAATAACACAAGATACCCTCAAATTCGTTTATTTGAAGATAGACACACAATCGGTTATGGTGTCACAAATACGACTGTCTTGGGTGAAGACGGAATCAGCTTTCATCACTGTACAATCTATAAAGATTACTATAGTGAAAATGGTAAAAATATCACCAAGTATATGCTAGAAGATAAAAGTTCTTTGGGGACTCTGGTGCAAGGAAATCGATGCAGAACCAATGAACCTGAAAGAATCTATCATGGCCACATAATCGGTTTGGTAACATGTAACGGTGTTCTTGAGTATAAGCTACTTGTAAATGAGGATCCTGAGGAGCGTGGATCATTCGCATCGAAGTGGACTGTTATCAACCATCTAGGAAGTGGTCACTTTGCAGATGTAGAGATGGTTGTACCTTTTGGGGAAGATCCCAACGATCCCTCTACTCGAAAGGCTGCTGTTAAAATTATCAAAACTGACCGTCTCCATCACCCAAAGCTTCGTGAAAATCTTAAGAGTGAGATTTCTATTCTTCGAAGCATTAATCACGTAAATACATTTTTATCGTTTATTTTTTGTCAAGGATTTATTTATTATTAATATTAATTGTATTATTATTATTTAGCCTTCTATCACCCGTGTTTACGAAGTATATAATGAAACGAACAACATATATATTGTAATGGAATACGTACCCGAGAAAGAGTTCTTTGATCTGATTTATGAGAAAAGGCTTCTGACTGAGAGTCAAACGCGAAAAGCTTTCTATCAGATCTTCAATGCTATCAAGGTAAGATTTGAATTAATATCTCTTACATATTAATATTTTGCTTTCTTAATATTTTTTTATTTTTTTTTTTACAATAGTATTTGCACGACCGAAATATTATTCACCGGGATCTGAAACCGGAGAATATATTAATGGTCGAAAAAGAAAAAATGACTCTTAAGATTTCCGATTTCGGGTTATCTAAAATCCTCGGTAATTCGGACGAAGTGATGACAACTCTGTGTGGAACTCCGACTTATGGTATGAATGACATTTGCAAATTTTTTTATATTTAGTTGTTGAAATTTAATATATTTACATTGATTCAATAGTTGCCCCAGAAATACTTACTCCAAGAGAAAGGAGAAGCTATAATTCCAAAGTCGATATGTGGAGTCTAGGCGTCATTCTGTACGTATGCCTATGTGGCTTTCCGCCTTTCTCGAATGATAGGAGCCCACCAAGTCTAACCGAGCAGATAAGAAGTGGAATCTATACATTTCCATCGCCTATGTGGGATACAGTCAGCGAGAATGGTATAAATTTATTTCATATTTATGAATTTCATTTCTATTTTTCAATATGAATATTTTTAATTTCGTAATTCAAAATAAAAACAGCCAAAGATCTTATCAGAAATCTGTTGGTAACCAATCCTGACGAACGTTTCTCGGTTGACGAAGCGATAAACCATCCTTTTATGACCGCTGGATTTGATATTAACGGTGATGACGATTATGACTATTTAGATAGAGTTGGATACCACGTGGAAAAAGGCCAAACCTTGATGATAATCCCTCGATTGCGAAAAGTGAACCAGGAAGGAACCGAAAGGTTGGCCAATGAACCATGTACGAATGTGATAACTAGTAAGAGTAATGAAAGACTTCCCAAAGTCAGCCCACAATCGAACATCAATGAAGTAGATACTCATTCGCAATTACACTTCACAACGTTTGGAATGCAACCTCTTGAAGGCACAATCTATTCTGCGGCTGGTAGCTCAGTCTACATGACAGCTAACGAATATTCGGATGCCTGGTTCCCACATTAATTCCTATATCAGATAGTTACGATTTTTATCGATATTTGATACTTCTCTTCATACGTCAGCATAACCCTAGTTTATCTTTTCATGTTGAGATTTTGAAATAAAATACGTATAAGAACCAGTGAAATTTACTATATATATCAATCTATATTAATTTTGGGGATAATAGTATTGGTATTAATGATTTTTATATACATAATATATACTCGAATCTAGATTAATAATGTCGATCCCAAAATTGAATTCGTAAATATTTTCTGCCTAATTATGGAAAATAAATACGAAACAGATACTCTTGATCTTGACATTAAAGACTCTCTTTTACAAGAGACACAAGGTCTGGACGACCTTTCAGCTTTGGCTGATTTGTGCAATTCCACAAATTCCGATTTTTCAGGAGATTCAGAGAAAAATGTAACAAAACAAATGGATAACGAGTTCGAAATGTTTGAAAGGACAACTTTGGAAGAAAGTTATACTGAAGAGCAAAATTCCAAAGTTGTTTCATTGGATTCTTTATCGGGTAGCATTGAAAAAGAAGTGAAAAACGACAAAGATATTGAGTCGCTGCGAAATAGAATTTCTGGGCTTGCTGCTACTAAAGCTGGAATGCAAGGAGTCGATAAGGAGAAAGTCAACCGATTAATTTATGAAAGTTCGAAGGTAATCCCTTCTTGACGTTCTAATCGAATGATCAAACCTAAATATCGTTAATTGTCTTTTATACTAGGGCTCAGCATTTTTTCAAAATGAGAAAAAGAAGGATGAAACAATTTCCGAAAAGATCAATGAAATGCTTCAAAAGTATGAAGCTATAAAAAAAAGTGACCTGCTAAGAGATTCAATTATCGTAGAATCTAAAATAAAAGAATTGGAGCAGTTACGCGACATAACTCAAACAATCGTCCACATCGATATGGACGCCTTTTTTGCTGCCGTAGAAGAACGCGATAATCCGACACTTCGTGGCAAACCCATGGCTGTTGGTAGTTTGTCAATGTTGTCAACAGCGAACTACGAAGCTAGGAAATTTGGCGTCCGTAGTGCGATGCCAGGATTTATTGCAAAGAAACTATGTCCTCTATTAATCTTAGTACCATGTCATTTCGAAAAATACACGGAAGTTTCAAAAGAAGTACAGAAAGTTTTCGCACAATACGACCCTCAATTCTCTGCTATGAGTTTGGATGAAGCATATCTCAACATCACAGATTATTTAGATAGAACCAAACAGCAACCTGCTGAAGTTGTCCAAAAAATTCGTAATGATATATTTTATAAGACTCAATTGACTGCGAGTGCTGGTATAGCTCCAAACAAGCTGTTAGCAAAGGTCAGTATTTATTTTATTTTATTTTATTTTATTTTATTTCAAATAGACATTTTTTAGTTATTATTTTCTGTATCTTATTTTTTTGTCCTAAACTAGATTTGTTCAGACATAAATAAACCAAATGGTCAATATCAATTAGAAAGTAATCGCAAAGTTCTGATGGATTTCATAAAGAATTTATCTATCCGAAAAATATCTGGTTTATTTTCGTAATTTATATTATTTATTCTGATTATTCGTATCATCTATGCTAAATTAATGCTTAAGACTGAATTTAGGAATAGGGAGAGTAACCGAACGAATCTTGAACGCGTTAGAAATCAAAACATGCGGAGATTTGCTAGAAAAGCTGGTGATTGTATATAAGCTTTTTACACCAACATCTTTTAATTTTCTTGCTCAGGTGGCTTTAGGCGTTGGTTCTACTGATGTAGCAATGTGATTGAATAATACTTTTTTTATTTTTATTTATTTTTTATTGCCTGTATTGATTCTTACATTTTGAATCGTAGGGAATGGAATCGAAAGAGTATGAGTGTTGAAAGGTAAACTCTTAAAATATGCTGAGTATAAAACTGTTAAAAAGATAACTTAATAGCTTCTCTTGTTAGAACATTTCCACCTTTACATAAATCCCAAGATCTGTGTAAAAAGCTTCGCGAATTAGCAGACCTTTTGGAAAATGATCTTGCAAAAGAAAATCTCGAGGTATTTTATTAAATTAACTGATAGGCTTTAATTCTTTGAACTTATATTTTTAACATGAACTGACAACATCTAATATAGGGAAGAACCATTTCCTTAAAATTTAAATTGAAGTCTTTTGAATTGTTCACTAGAGCAAAGACTCTACCGAAATATATTCATAGCGCTGATGATTTGTATAAATACGGAATACAGGTCAGCAGGTTTTTTATTTGCAATCTATGAAATGTATTTAATAACTATGATTTTATGCTATCTCAGATTTTGGAGGCTGAAATGCCACTTGATTTGCGATTATTGGGACTTCGCCTGGCAGCATTGAGAGATAGAAACGATGAATTAAAATATGGTGTTAAAAAGGTATTTTTTTGAATGCAAGTTTATATTTGGTTGATGTCTTGATTGATTGCCAAATTATACTATCGTCATTTTTATATAACTTTTGGTAAAGTATTTTCTGGTTAAAGAGGAAAATCCAAAGAAAAAATTGCGCTTAGACATGCAAAATTCAGAGAATGACGCGTTGCAAGAATCAACATTTAATACCCTTCTGCCATCAGATTCTTCTGAAAATACGGATACGCCGGATAGCTTGGAACGTCCAACATGTCTTGAAGGATTGACAGATATGAATCAAATTCAAATGTACCGTCATATGGATCAATGTTTGGATCAATTTACTTCGGGATCTTCAAAACTTGCATCTTCTAATATTAAAATGAAGGCAAACACATCACATAAAGATAATTTGTCTGAGCACAAACTCACGGACAAGATTCTACAACCAAAAGATTCCCAATTATCTACCAGCGAGATCATCGAAACTTCAAATAATGAGGATTCTGCAATTATCCATTGGGAATGTCCTATCTGTGGCCAGAAATTCAGTGATTCATCAGAACTACGTATCAATACACACGCCAATGTTTGCTTGAATATGAATAGTAAAAAGAAAAAGAATAAAACTAGTAGCTCAAGGTATTCTCGAAGATTCTTTTTTTATGTTTTTAATTTACTACATGATTCTAAATAATTATTTTTTAAGTCTTTTGAAACGAACAACTCACTCGAGCATTCATAAAAAGAATCCAAACAGGCGAAAAAGTACCAGTAAATCGAGAATCAAGAATCTTTCCTTGCTCGATTTTTTTGAAAAGAATTCGAATTCTTGATTTCGGCTTTGGATTATTGTCTTTTTTATTCGATACTTGGTTAGCTGTGATAATGTAAGAGTTCATACTACTACGTCATGCATTTTTTCATGCGGGGGGACATCCAGTTAGGTAAAGACACAAAAACAACATAAAAACAAAAATATATTCTTGACTTTCAAAAAGTAAATGATTACTGAAAAATAAAAATAAAAAAGAGAAATAAGACACCAAATTTAAGTTAATCAATAATAAAAACACTTAAAGTTTAGTTTTTTCAGTTCTTTACTGGTTTTGTGTTCTGATGGAGAATTGGCAAAATCCTTGTTAATTTAGTAAATGGTAGTTGCGTTGTGATAATCTTTAGTTAAAGGCAATAGAAACAAGAATTAGATTCTAAATTAGAAAAGAAAATTTAGAATTTTTTTGTTTTGTTATGGCAATTGATTTAAATTCATGCTATTTTCAAACTAAATTTTTCAAATTCTACTTCAAGAAATTGCTGAAATCTCAGGAACTAAAAAAAATAATATTATTGTTATTGTTTTTGTTAATTTATTTTTATTTATTTTCTAATTTTCATTTAAGAAACAAAACTTAATATTGTCACCAATTCAATATATTATTATTAATTTAATATATGAATACATGAATGGAAGACACAGTTACAGTAAAAATTAGTCATGATGATATTTGAATTACATATTTAGTTCAATAACTTTCTATTTTTTTTCTTGTATTATTTAGCTTTTTATATTTATTTCATTGTTATCTTTATTTGAATATATTAATCATACAATTTTCTTGGCAAATTTATCATTTTCTATATTAGTTTAGCTTTTATTTTCTATTTTTACTATTGGTACTTTAGTATAGAATAAGATTATTAATTATAATATAGTTAAATTTTGTGTAAATTAGAGAAGAACCAGTAATGTTATAATATTAGTAAAGATTTATTGTATCATATACTGCATCACAACTGTGTTATACTGTGTATTACTGCACATTATTGTATCATATTGTGTTATTGTAACATAAAAACATGTATAAATACAAGTGCTAACAATTAATAAAAATCAAGTTTTTCAATTTTGGTTTAAAGTTTTGAGAGTTTGATTTAAATTGATTTTGAATTTTTTTTGATTTAATTTTAAGTTTGTTATATTTGATTGATTAAATTTTGAAATTAGAAATTAGTTTATTATTGAAATACCTTTAGTTTAGTCTTGTTATTGTCATTTTATCTTATTAAGAAATATTATTCTATTGTCATAAACATCTTTTAGTTATAAAATTTAAAGTAAATTATTGTGAATACAATCACTATTGCCATTTTAAAATACTTTCATATACAAAAGTTTAGAATGATAACAATACTAGAACAATAAAAAATCAATAAATAATTTATTAAATATCTAAAAAAAATAATAATGATAATAATAATTACTAAAAAAAATTATAGTTAATATAAATTTTTTTTGTATTTTTTATATATTTTAGAAAAGATATTATTGTTATTATTATTTAAATTTTTCAAATTGCTGGCTTTTTTTGAACAGATTAATATTTGTTTATATAATTTTCATCAAAATAATATAATACTTTTTTATATATTTTTTATTAACAATTTTATTATAAAATATAATACTTTTTTATTATAAAATATAGCACATTTTTATTATAAAATATAGTATATTTTTTATTAATCATTTTATTAAAACAAGATAAATTAATAATTCTTTTAGTGTAATTATATTAATCAAAAATTTGTAATATTAAGAACAAAAATATATATAAAAAGAATTTTTAAATTATTAATAAAAATAAAATTTATATTGTATATAATTATTTTTCAAGTAAATTAAGATTTGTAAAATTTTTTATATAGTAAATATTAATATTATTTTAATAATTAAATTTTTTATTTCTGAAAATATATTATACAATCAAATTTCTTTATAATCATATATTTATAGTTATATTTCTTTATACTCACTTTAATTTGTTTTTCTATTTATATATAAATATAATAAAAAAAATCTTTTTATAGTTATAATTATCAAATTTTACTTTTCTAAGAATAATGATTATAAAGGAATTTGATTATATTATTAAAAAAATCATTATTGTTTATTGGATAAAATTATTTAAAATAATTAAATATTAAAAATTTAAAACTTTTATCTAAAAAGTATTATAATAATTAATATTATTATTAATAAAGTCAATTACAAGTAACTTTTAATATAAGAAAGACTAATTGAAATTTGATATAAAAAAGTTAAGCTCAAAATTACTTTATAATAAATTTATTTAATATAAAAAAGTTATTAATAAACTCTTGATATAAGAAAGTTTTATAAATTTTTTACTATATATTTAAATAGTTTTCTTATATTAAGAACCAGTTATAACCTTCTAATTATCTTATTTAAATCTGAATTATCTTTTTATAATTTTAAAAATCTAATATAATTAATAATATTTATAAATATAGTAACTAATAGAATTATAAAATCACATATAATTTTATTAATAAAATATAATAAAAATTAAAATTTTTGTCTTATTAAAGTTTTTAATTTTATTAATAAATATTTTTTATTTTTATATTAAAACAAAAATTATAAATTATAGTTTAACATATATTTTTTCTGAATTTTCCAGATTTTTTTCTGATAAAGTTATTCTAATTACAAAATTATTATAAAAATTTTTTAAAATTAATTTTATATTTTAATTATAAAAAATTTTTGTATTAATTTAGTAATTAAAACAAGT